AAATAAATATATAAATATTTATAAATGAATACAAAATATATTAATATACTAATTTCTTTTAATATTATAATAATATTAATATTTTATGAATTTTATTATTTTGAATATAATTTGTAATGATATGTAAAAATTTTCAATATTCAATACATGCTATTTCATTAACAAAACCTATACGCTTATTAATGCGGCAATACCGACGTCCTAACTTTAAAAATAACTCCTTCAATAAATATTTTAAAAAACAAATATTGGATGGTTGGATTTAATGATTTGAGGTAAAAAATCTCTTTTTAATCCATTGACATCCAATTTATCTAGCAGAGCGTAATTTATCTAGCAGGGGGCATTATTCGGGTCAGGTCAACCTGGCTGCCTTTGTTTTCTTTCTTCTTTTTTCTGGGCTAGGCCTTTTTTGGGTTATTGGGCTTCTAAAAAAGTTAAATGGCCCAAAGGCCACCATATTTCAAAATTTTTAATTTATAATAATTAGTTAATTTTAATTTATCTCAATTAATTATCTTAATTGTTTCTAATTATGATTAGTCAGAGCTATTAAGCTAATTAAGATTTAATTAAAACAGTTAATTATCTTTAATTAATTTGATTCATTATTATATTATAATATGTTCATAATTTTCTCAACCGAATTTTAATCAATATCAATTTGAGTTATTAGTTGATAGGTCAAACTTTAAAAAAGCAAATATTTTCATCTCTATTTTTGAAATAAAAAATTTTAATCTAATTATTTTATTTTCATTAACTTTGACCCTCATTCAAACATTTCATCATGTCAAAATTTACAAAAAAAAAAAAAAAAATCTTCTCAATATTTTCATTTTTGTAATTAAATTGTTATGAATAAATTCATTGTAGATGTTTCATCTTCTTCATTTTATCACCTCCTCACTTTCCATGGTATTTACACACTAAGTAATGGTGTAACTTCCACTACCTCCATACATTATTGGCCCCTATCTGTAAGGATTTGTACTCTTGCAAATGTATGGAAATGTATAGAGAGCAAATAAAAAAGAGAAGAATGAAATATAGTATATCTTTACGTTCCCTCACTTTGTCTCGATCTTTCTTCTTTTAAATGATTCTTTCTTTATTTTACAACATATTATCAGCATGACTTGTCTCTATGTGAATCACTATTCATGAATCCTATTTAAGTGATAAATCAATTGATGTTAAAATATAAGTTGAGGTAAAGTTTTAAGGTAAGATTTTGAGACAATCTAATTTTTTAATTTCTTATTTCTAATTTGAATTTTTTATGGTGTTGTAGTGATTTTTTTATTTATATGTTATTTTACACTCGTTAAAAGACTCGAATTTATTGTCCTTGATAAATTGGGCTCCAATTATATCATGAACTCTTGATGTAAAAAGTCTTTTACCTTCAATGAATTTTGAATATTCAATTGTGGAAGGGAATAAAGTATTTCTTAAAAAAAAAAAACATTTTTGAAAAAAAAGGCATCTTTGAAGGATTGTAATGAACTGATATTTCTTCATTATAAAATCCAAAAAAAACTATTTATAAAATCCAAAAAAAAAAACTAAAAGATGAATATTTGATGATGAATGATTCTTGGAATCATGGAATTGTTTGGAAGAAAGATGATCACCAAAACAAAATTGCAATTCTTCCAAAACCTAACTATGGATGGATCTATTTATTATTCGAGTATGAATCAGTAAATATTTTGAGTTATCTCATGTGGAAGAAAAATTATTATTGATAAAAACATACTAGAGAAGATCATACACTCTTCTTTTTGTGCCTCGAATATGCTTCAAAAGTAGTAATCTTGAGAGGGCAGGTTTAACGTGTATATTTGAAGTAAATACATGTCCTCTTGTTGCCAACAAAACTATGAATTGATGAAAAACCATTGATCACAACCATTAGTTTGATTCCATTCCTAGAAGTGAATGTGATATCATGTTATAATCATGGTTATGAATATGGTTGTGAAATGAGACTCTACAAAATGAAAAGATTTGCAAAATAAATTGACAAATAATTTGAGAACTTTTAGATGTGACATAAATAAATATTGGTCACATATGTTTAGTATGCCCAACCAATTTATGTGCTTATAATATACTTCTAAGTATCTACTTGATTTAGTACAAGCCTTATCCAATGAGAAGGGAAAAGGTGGAAAACAATATGGATATGCACTTGTGATATTAGTGACACACAATTTTATTTTAAACATGGATATATTATATCCATTTTGGGAATATTGGGGGAAAATATCTCAAATATTTGAGAAATTAAATATATATCCTAATGTGAGGATTGTGAATTAAAAGGAGAATTCTTTAAGATCAAGTCTCCTCAATAAGAACTAATTTCCAATGAGAAGATGACATGCAAGAATGCATCTATAGGTGGATATGAGGAATTTATATCCCAAATTTTGAGATTCACATTAATCTCATCTAGTACCTCTCAATATGTAGGTTTCATATTGATGAAGAAATATTTTGAAAAAGAGCATCTTTACTATAGTGATGAAATCAAGGATGAAAAGTTAAATTTGTATAAAACATAGCTATCACACAATGAGAGTATAATGGTACCTTTGTAATAAGTAAAATGTGACATACATGCACCTCTATTATACAAAATGTATCTTAGTGAAATAGAAATTAAAAAATTGTATGTCATTTTTTGATAAGCAAAAGCTGTGCCATGAAAAAATATCTTAAAAAAAAAAAAAAGACTTTTCTTAGTTACACTTAGTATGAAGCTAATGTGATATTTCATGTTACAACCTTGATTGAAAAATCTAAAGAACTTGTACATTATTTACTATTAAAAGCTCTTGAAAAACTTGAATTATAGCTTGGAGACGCAAAATTTTTAAATATGTGACTAATTGCATCTTAATAGATTATATTGGAATTTATTAAACTTTAAGAGTACAAATATATAATAGTTATCATATTAAAACCATGAATGAGAATAGTATAAAATGCCCCTAATGTCACATCTTTCATGTGGCTAAAAGGCACATATTTGAAAAGCTTTATCTTCTGAATTACCTTTATAAATCTAATAGGATCAAACATTAGGGCCAACCAAAAAGTTGACCCTAGAAAGATTTGAACTTAAGTAACTTAGTTATCAAGTGATTTTTCATGTGTTACATCCCTTGAGAACATGATTACCAAGCCTTTTACAAATAGAATTGAAATATAATCTCCTTCATTGCTATATTGGATTTTAGGAGACATATAACCTATGCTCAATTATTTGAAATATATTTTGACATATTATGGTACTAATATATGCTTGAATATGAAACTAACAAAATAGTCCCTTAAGTAATATGAAATGTTGCATTGAGAGTATATCTATCTTCATAATCCCAAAGAAGGCTAAGAGTTTATATGGGTTGATTATGAATCTTTTTACAATAAAATTTGTTGATTGTCAATCTAAAGGAATCATGTTCCTAGCATCAAGGGGAGAGAAATAAATATTGGGGAGGTAGGAGATAACTTGAGATGTATCTTTCAAGATCCTTGAATAAGTTGATATGAATTAGAATTTCAAAATTCTATACTATTGATTGATGGATGCATATATTGACGGAATTAAAGTTATAAATAATATATCCAAGCTTTGAGTACTCTTGCTTGTATTGATATTCATATTAAAAAAAGTTGCTAAAATATTAATAAATGAGTATACATTATAAGCATGTTAGAACAAATGGTTCTAAGGATAAAAATCCAAAAATGAGAGAGAGCACAAAAGCAGAATGTTAGTACTGTTGAAATCATAAAACTCTTAAAGAGTTCTTAAGGAAATAACCTTAAGAAAGGGATTAGATACCTAAAAACAATGAAAATGTTGATATTATATACAATTATAAGATCTCTATAAATTATGGTTTTCTTAAAAAATGATGGAATCAAAATGAAATTATTATTAATAAGAAATTCTTACATATGCAATAATGATGGATATAGTCAATGAAAATAAAGATTTTGGATCAAATTCATTGAAAATTGTTGGCAAAGAAATGATTGGCCAATATGAAGAGAGATGATCCACATAAAATTAAAATCACAATAATTACGTGATATTTTTGGATTAATATCCCAAATATATAATGAAATAGTGCCTATTAAATTTATTTAAGTGAGAAGTCAACAAATTCTTTTTACAAACTTATTGGCTTCTAGAACTTTGAGCAGCCAAGACACTAGATTGGTATAAATTGCTTGGTTATGAAAATACATTCAATTCAGGGGGAGTATTATACACATTGTGCTCTTTTTCCCTTCACCAAGGTTTCTTTTTTTCCCATTGGATTTTTTCCTGGTAAGATTTCTAGTGAGATAGTTTAATAAGCGTATAATAAAAGGTGAACATTCAAGGGAGAGTGTTATGAATCAATTCATTCTGGCTGTTTCACCTTCCTCATCTTCTCACTTCCCCATTTTCCATGGTATTTACACACCAAGTAATGATGTTACTTCCACTACCTCCATGTAATTATAATGGTGATTAACACTCTATAATGCTGAGCATTTAGATGGTGATAATGAGATTTCTTGTAACCTCAATTAGTAGGAGATTAATCCCTATAACCTCCCACTCAATGGACGTTAATTCTTTATAACTCCTATCCCTATTGATCCCTATATATAGGGCTTGTACTTTTGCAAATGTATGAAAATGTGTGGAGAAAAAATGGAGAAGAGAAGAATAAAAATATAATATATCTTTGTATTATCTCACTTTGTCTTTCTAATTTTTCTTCTTCTAAAGGATTCTTTTTTTGTTTTACAACATAAACACCAAAATTTCACCTATTTCAAAATTTCCAAAATTTTTATAATATGTATAAATAAATCCCTCCTTTTTAACAAAAGGTTCAATTTCACCAAGATCTTCCAAATTTTGTAAAGTCAATCTTCAAGGTTTCAATTTATTCCAAATCAATCCTTCAAAAATATTTCAATTGTGTCCAGAGGCTTGTAAATCTTTCAATTTTACTCATCATTTTCAAATTAAGTCAAATAGAGCCCAACATAAAATAAGAGGAGATTTTTGCACAATGAGAGGTAACCATCTCCAATCTTTTATCCCACCCGCATGTCATATAATTCGAATTCAGAATCTCTTACTTCCAGCGGAAGGAGATGATCACTGAGTTATTCAAGTCGTTGGCAAAATAAGAAGAGTTAAAAACTAGCAGAAGGTGCAAGTTTTTGCCTAATATTTTTGAGTTGAAGAAAATTAGCACTAAAACAAAAGTTGAAATAAATGGTCATATCTAAATTTTATTTTAAAAAAATCAATCCAAATTTAATAGTTGAAGTGAATTTTCCATTAACTTTAAAAGCAATAATTTAATGAAGAGTTTGACTTTTTTGAATTTTGGCCTATTTGACTATTGACTTGGTTAATATTTGTCTTTTACAACGATTGAAGTTCATTAAATAAAATTATCGTCATTAATTCGGATGAATTAAAGTTAATCTAAATATGCCTCCAAGGTTGATGGTTAAGAGTTTAACACTCTAAGTAGGGGATTTTGAGTTCAAATCTTATGATAGGTGGGGAGAGAATAAAAGATGATGTATCAAAAATTTCTAAATATTAATAATTTTTTGTTAATCAAATCAAGATTAAAAGCAAGAAACACAACACAAATTATGAAAAAAGATGGACCAAAAAAGAAAAAGAAAAAAAAACATAAATTATCACTCTTTTAGTTTTTAAAAAACAAGATATGAAAAAATTTTAAATTGTAATTATTGATATTCATACATAAAAATACGTACATTATTACATTACATAATAGAGCAAGCATGGGGATTCTCGTCGCTAAAAGCCGAACCGGTCTGGTTGTTAAAAATGGTTGAATGAACTGGGTGACGGTAATAGCCGGGATCGTTGCTATCATAGCCATGCTTGTAGTAATTGTAAGAAGACGAGGGTTGGGGAGCATAATAACTCAACGGACCATTGCACTGGTGTTGGTTGTAATAGTGATTGGCATTACTGTAATACTCTGGATTGTAGGGTAGCTGCCACAACTCTGCCCTCCGCCCAGTCTTCCGGACTGTCTTCAGCACCAGTTTTTGGTCGGCCCAACCAGTGACTGTCACCTTCTGCAGGGCCATGTCGATATCAACCTCATCCACACCTGATGAGTATAGGTAAAAATCAAGTTTAAGACCTTTACAGCCTATCTATAGCTTCCACAAAATTTCTGTTTACTAATAAAATTTAAAAATTTAAAAGATTTCACGCATGTTACGAATTTATGGTTTCAACTTAAAACTATAGGAAAAATTTAGTTTAGTTGTTTGAAATAATTTATAATTGTAATTGTAATAATAATTGGATATAATAATTAATATTAGTTATATTATAATTTAAAATTAATTTATAAATTAATATTTTTAATCAATTATTTTAAAAAATAGATTATAGATTTTTGATAAAATCAACCCAACCACTAAGCACACCTTAATATTTTTCAAAAAAAAAAAAAAAAAAGGCTTGACCTGGCTTTTTGTTGCATGTTTTGCGGCAAAGTAGCTCTTTTAGAAATTGAACAAAAAAAGTTATTTAATATAATATATTTTACTTGGTTAGATATTTAAACCTTTAACTTTAATTTTAATTATATATTAATATTTTTAAATTAATAAATATTAATTTAATTAAATTTTTGTTAGTGACACTTAATTAGTATAATATGAAAAGTTATATGTACAAATCTCTATTTGTTTTATAATTTGAAATTTATAAACCTACGTGAAAACAAATTACAAATTATTGCATTAGCAGCCTCCAGTGAGTTGACAAGACGTGGTAAAATTCTTGACTCATGTCAAAGTTTAAATTCTTATAGAAACAGTTATAATTTTTTTTGTCTTTTTTTTTTTTTTTTTT